CAGCTCCTCCACGTTCCTGTTCCCCACCAGGAACTCACCCTGGTACGGGGGGTCCCCACCTGTGGGGCGACACACAGCACCCGTGGGGACACCCCTGGCCCATCCTGTGGGGTATCCTGGTGCAACTTGGGGGTGCCCAGCCCTCACCTGGGGCGGGGATGACGGTGATGATGAGGCGCTGGGACACCGTGGCGTAGGTGCGGCGGTCGTAGGCCAGCACCTGCAAGGACAGGGGATGCCCCTGAAGATGTCACCCCTTCCTGTGCCACCCCAGAAGTGGGGGGTGTGAGGGTGGGCACCTACCTCGATGGTGTGGGTGCCCACCTCGCTGGCCGTGGGGCAGCCGTACAGGTAGCCGGGCTGGAAGGGGTCCCGCTGGAGGTACCGCAGCCACCGCGGCAGGTCCGGGTGGTCCCGCAGGTGGGCTTGGAAGGTGATGGGGGCTGCTGGGACACACGGGTGGGTGGGGATGGACACAGACATGGGGATGGCACAGGCTGTGATGTGGGTGGACCTTCCCCGTCCAACTGGTCCCCACAAGGAAACAGGGATGGTCCCTGGGGGTCCTGATCCCCCAAATGGAGGGAACCCCCAGGAGAGGGGACACTCGATGCTCCGGGGGGGTTGACACTGTCCAGGGGGTCTCAAATGGGTGGAAGGTGGAGAGGGAGGGATGGAGGGTGGGATGGAGGGTGGAAATAATGGAGGGATGGAGGATGGGATGGGATGGGATGGGATGGGATGGGATGGGATGGGATGGGATGGGATGGGATGAGATGGGATGGGATGGAGGGAAGATGGAGGGATAGAGGAATGGAGGGATGGGATAGAAGGATGGATGGATTGAGGGAGGGAGAGAGGGAAGATGGAGAGAAGGAGGACGGAAGAGAGGAAGGGAGGGAGGGAAGGAGGGAAGGGGGGAGGGAGGGATGGGATGGGATAGAAGGATGGATGGATGGATGGATGGATGGATGGATGGATGGATGGATGGATGTTTACAGGACTGGATGGATGGAGGGACAGATGGACAGACGGCCCAGCTGGGGTGGGGACTGGCGGGGAGATTATCCATCCCCCCAGTCCTCCCATGCTGGCCCTTACCATCATCATCCCCACTCTCAGTGGGAAAGGCCTCCTGGAACAGCTCCCGCTCCAGCTCATGGACGAAGATAGTTCCAGTCTCGGAGGAGATGCGGTGGTCAGGGAGGACGTGGTGGTCGGGGAGGGTGGCCTGGGACACCCCCAGGGCCATGGCTGTGACCACACACAGGGCTGGGGCCGGGGCTGGGGACACACGGCCCTTCCCTGCCTCAGATTCCCCTTTCCCAGAGACCCCAGGACAAGCCACAGGTGCCCACAGACCCCCTGGGACAGAAACGTGTCCCTGCAGTGCCAGGTGTCCCAAGGCAGTGGAG